CCCCTCCGCCATGTTGGGTGTGCGGCTGTGGCACCCCTTCGCACCCAGTGTCTGTAGGAAGGGGGAGCGGGACTGTGGTCTGTGGTGGGCTGCTGTGGTGTGTGGTGGGCTGCGGTGTCAGCGACGCGGGGTGTGTCCTCGGGTTTCGCGTTTCCAGTGCCTGTCTCGGGGAGGAACCCCGAGAGCGGCTCCGAGGGCTCTGGGAGAGCCGCTCGATTCATGACTGAATTTTAGTGCTGCCATGAAAGTCGATGAACGGAAGCGGTAGTATTCTGTAACTAGTGCCCCCGAGCTTCCGTTGCAGCTGAGTGTTACTAATTTTTACTTTTTTTTTCAGCGATCCTACGAATCCCAAAATGAAAGAGAAACAGAACGCAGAAAAACCGGGACCTTTGCAGGTATAGGCTTTAAAGTCTTGAAGCTAGGACATGGGATAAGCAGATAAGGGATGGAAAATGAAAGATTAAGGTTATCAAGGGTATCTCAAACACAGAATTTGTTTCGAGGTTTGTAGGCAATTCTATGGGAAATGGTCCCTCTGACATGTGTTCCATATCCACTGAAAGGAATACAAGGGGATCTGTTGTAATGTGCTTCCGCCTTGGCTTATGTCCCCTTGGCTTGGGTATCCTCCTGGCAGGCTGTGGCCTGGGAACACTGTCTTGCCTGGGCATATGAAGTTATGACTACTTTTTTCTTACTTCTCGTCAGATCTTTTTTACCTCAACACTGAGCCTGCTGTCTTCCATGTGACTTTGTTTTTTAGGTGCTGGCTATCTGCCCTAATCTGGTTACTGAATCAGTCTGGCTGCTAAAGGCTTATGGAGTGGGTTTTGTAGTCTGTCCATTAATAGGGATAAAGAGTTAAATCTCTTTGGCTTGAGCATGCTTTAACTGAAGTACTCATGCAGGCAATTCTGTTTCTAAAGTCACCCTCATGAACTATGGTTGCTGTGGAATTAGTGGAAACACTTAAGTGATGTAGATTTTTAAGAGGTGACCTATAGGAAGCTACTAAAGTTTATCCCTATTCCCATCTTGTTACAGTGTTCCTTTGTTAAACCTTTTAATGTGGGCCCTAATTGGAATAGTACACATACAAATAGAGGCTGGTAGCCTTCTATTGTGAGGAGAGAGTTATTGTAGTGAAAACTTAGGGTATTAATGAAAATCGCCAATTGAGAGTCTGACTTATACACATGGTAATCTTGGCCTATGGTAACTCTAGGGTATAAATTCCTCTGTAGCTTTTTGTGCTTTCAGTGGGTTAACTCAAGTATTAGTTAATAATTTCTTGGCAGAGTATGCTTAACTTTAACCTTCAATAGCAGCAAGCGGTGTCTGACACACTGTGATTCTTGTTCCCACAGCAGTTAATGTTTGTCCTTTAGTTCAACAGCAGGGTAATTGGTGGCAGAATCTACCGTGGGAAAGGTGAGCTCTTGTCATCTGAAGTACAGAGTGAATCGGGAACTTTCTCACGCTGGTGTGGCATTGTACTCTGGCTGTTCTTGCTTGGTTGTCTGCCATTGTTTGCTATCCCATGGTGGCAGTTAACCAACCCAATCAGAAGGTTTTAATGCAGGAAACAGGTATTTATGCATGACAGGAAAGGTGATAAACATACTGTTTATATAAAACAGCCTGTCTGGATTGAAGCAAGGAAGGTTTAGATCCCTTTTAATGGATAATCAAGCAACACATCTATTTAAATGAACACCACTTGAGGGTGTGTTCACAGGTAATAAAAACAGATGCTGCCTGAAATATGTGTGACTTTGCCACATAAACTTGTGATTGCAGTCACTTTTGTATGTGTCCCCCAAAGTATAAGCCTGCTGTTGCCATACAACTTTGAGAGCTTCAGCTAAAGTTTGTGTGTCACTGCATTGTAACTGGCTGTGAAATCCAGTCAGGATATTCCTGCTGTAAGACCTGTTCAGGTTTCTTCACGAAGAGGTTTTCCCAGAACAGGGACTGAGCATAGCTCCATGTGATTAAGATCCATTTTGGCTACAAATAACTAGCTCTCCTTTACACAAGCCTTAACACTGGCTAGGGTATCATCTTTTTCTTTTGAAAAGTTGAGCCGTGTGTTACGTTAGTAGAAACATGACAAATTCAGAAGTGTTAGTTTATGGAAAGACAAGTGGCAAGTGTCTGAAGCTGTATTTGTCTTTCTAGAAGTACCTCACAGACACCACATGCAGTGCTGCCCCAAGACGGACTCTTAAAATGATTCAGCCTTCAGCAACAGGTTGCCTGGTTGGCAGACGTAATGAGGTATAAATGAAAAGATAACTTGTAGATGTGTAATTATTTCTACTCATAGTGAAATGCTTTTGAGCTTTTAACTGAAAACCAATATATTTGAAAAACATAATCTGCTAATAAGTGTGACACAGCTTAAGCTTACTATTATTTTAGTGATAAACAATATTAAAAACTAGCAATTTCTGAGTACTTCAGAAAAATGTTTGATATTTTTCTTTCATTAAACCTATGGGTATCAAGGAAGATGTCTGTAAACTAGAACTATAATGTGAAGAAAGCAGGGCTTATGAAGACTTATTTGCAGTCATCAGTGAGCAGATTTACAAGTCTTTGGCTTTTTTAAGAAAGCTGAAACATTGCTGTGAAGTTAAACCTGCCTGTGTTCTATGCAGAAGAAATATTCAGTCAAAAGGAAGTGCAAGTTAACCTCGAAGACTTGTAAGGCTGAGGTGTCTGTGGCAAAGGAGCAAGAAAATGAGAATACTAATGATGCTGTTGAAGCTGTAGATCTCATGATAAAAGGTATGTAGTAATTCCTGAAGTGTTCTCTTGCATTTAAAACGTGATGCTCCTATTAGAATATAACTCGAAACACTGTTGCTTTATCAGTTAGATAAGGGCTTTGTACTGGTTTTGGTGGGTTTTTTTGGTGGGTTTTTTTTTTTTTTTGGTAATGCCTAGCAGGAATTAATGATACTTATTCTCTATACAGTGGTAAATACAGTATAGACATCCAATGTTTAAGAATGAGTTTGGTTGCCAGTAGCTGAGAAATGTTGTGTGCAGCAGTGTTAAGAAGTTGTGTAGCTTGTTACTTTGGCTTGCCTATGAGCTTTCAAGTGACTGAGTGTAGGTGAAAGCCTATTCTGGCATAGTGTGCTTTGTGTGCAGTTTCTCAGAAGCATTGAGTCCAATATGGACAGTGACTTGTGAATAAGACTTGTCTTCTACAAAGTACAAGTTAAGACTGACATCTGCAAATGTGACCATCTGTATAGCTATTAATACATTGTAGGCTCTCTCCTTTATGTAAGCTTACATCTGTAGTTGTAAACTTACAGCTAATCTCTGGGAAAATAATATATGGAATGAGCTGTTACTATCACAGTTTATAGAATACTTGTATACAAATGAGGTATCTTAAAGTGATCCCAAGAACTCAGTCTTAGCACAGGCTCACTGTAGTTTCTTTCTTCAGGAAGTCCTTCACCTCAGTATTGGAAAGAAGTGGCTGAAGAAAGGAGAAAGGCTCTGTATGAAGTGCTTCAAGAAAATGAAAAGGTAGCTAGTGAAAGACAACTAGCTTCCTTACTACTAGCTGTTGTCTTCCTGTGTTAACATTTTGTTATTTAAACTCAGTTGCACAAAGAAATTGAGCAGAAAGATGGTGAAATTGCCCGCCTAAAAGAGGAAAATGAAGAGCTGATGTCCCTCGCAGAACATGTGCATTATATGACCAGCATGATTGAGGTACTTAAAGGAATATTCAATTGTAGAATGAAAATGAGAAACCAGTGAAGACACTTAGTGAAGCCATGACTTCTGTTTTGTGTGCTCCCAGAACACTCACTTTTAAATTACTCACCTGTTTCCTGCAGGATTGCTCTGATCCAGAGACATAGAGCATCTTTAAGGGGATGATTTTTCCCACCTTGGAACCCACAGGGGTAACAAGAAAGTACTAAGAGCAATCTTTTCCTGAAGGGAAGATTCAACCTATTATCTTAGCACAGGCTTTGCATGTTAGAGATGGTGGCAAGGGAAGGAAGGGTTCTTTTTCACTTCAAGATGACTTGAATTCAAATGCTTAATAGGCTGTGTGAGGCTAAGTGTTTGTAGTGGCTGTGCCCTTTGGGGAACTAAACTTGGAACAGGGACACATGAGGAGGACCAGCAAGAGGGGGAGGAGAAGGGAGCACCTATGCTTCTTAAAGTCAAGGTTTCACTGAGGAATTGCCAGTTTTGTGGACCAAGAAAGGTGTAATGCATGAAGTCTGTAGTGTTTATAAACTTGTAAATTTCAGAACAATTTCCTCTGAGAAGTCCTTGGGGACAGGCAGCTGTGTCATTGATTCCATGACTCCTCTACCAGGAGTAGATTGTTTGTAACAGCCTCTGAAGCTGTAATAAATATATAGCCATGGAACCTTGATGCTAAAATTATCAGCTAGGTGGAAGAACTAATATACTTGGGAACTTCTCTGCAGGTCCTCAGTGGTTCACCTATTAGTTGTTAGCTGCTAACTTCTGAGGTTTTAATGAGCCTTAAGTGATACATCAAACAACCAGAATCCTCAAGAGCAGCCTGTTTTTCTTCCTTAGATAAGGTTAGATAAGGAACTCTTAATTTGATCAGCAAGTGCTAGAAACTGCTGGGACTTCTAGTTCATCTAGACTTAATGTAGCTTCATTATCTGATTAAAAACTGAGCCTTGTCTGCTATATAGTAACTCTTCTAAAATTAAACCTCTCTAGTACTATGGGAATACTTAACTTGGGAAGCTGTTTCCCGTATTTTAGGTTGCATAGCATAAAACCTGTCCTGCTGTGAAGAACCTAAGGAAGACCTAACAGTCAGCAAAGCAGCAGATGTGCTCTGTGAGTTAGAGGTAGCAATTCGAGTTAAACTAGAGTGTCTTAAGATTTTTGTGACTGAGGAATGTTTTAATTACATCAACGATCGCCAAATGAAGATAATTAGTTTGCTTAATTTAATATGCACATTCTTATTTCGCTGGCTGTTAAGTAGAAAGAGCACTATATTTGCTGTCTCCTGGTTTCTTTTTCTTCCTAGAGGCTAACTGGGCAAGCACCTGACAATCTTGAGGCACTGGATAGTCTGGCTCTAGAGAAATCCAAACAGGAAAATGAGGAGCTGAACTGTGCAGATGATGCAGACAGTGCTTCTGAAGAAGGACCATCACAAGTTTCATGTGGCTTACGGGGGAGTATATCAGGTCTTGCTTCAAAGGAAACAAATAATTTGCAACATGAATGACAACCTTTAAATAGGCTTATGTATGTGGCTTTTAATTGCAGACTTCCTCTTGATATACTGAAACTTCTCAGGTATAGAAACTCTTGTGGAAGCATTACAGATGTTGGTTTTAACTGGAATTATGTGCAGTGGGAGCGTGTGGATACTGCATCCGAAAATTACTGCGGGCTGTGCTTAGTTGCTTGTATAAAATGCAAATACTGTATGTTTCAAATTGTGTAAATATCAGTTGGTCTGACATGGTACATGAAAGTTGATAAATAAACCTTTGCATTATTAAAACAGCCTCTTATTTGAATGGGAAATTGCTAGTTCTAGATTTAAGTCAGTTGTGACTGCTGTAGGTGCTTGGGCAGCTTTTAACTCAGGCTTCCAGAATTCTGGAGAATAGAATGGTTTCGATGGATAGAGAAAGCAAAATGGTTTCTGTGCTGTCGGTGAGGCTTCAGAAGGCCAAAAATGGGTAATAAAGAGTCCAGATTTATGCTTTTTGGGTTTTTAAATAATTGCCTCTGTCTTTTAAGAGAGCCTCTTCCAAGATGTGTAGATCAGAGCTTAAGTAGAAAGTGTCTTTCAGAAATGCATTTATTGGCTTGTGAAGAAAAGATGGGGTGTTCTTGCTCCTAATAGCAGCTGTACTAAAAATTATATGGAGACAAAGCAGCTGCTTGCACTTCAGAGCTATTCTGAATGGAAACTCAATGTCTGTCAAAGTACTGCTCTGGTATTTACCAAGAGATGAAGCACCTTTTTACCAAGATAGTAATGTTCTGAAGGGTTTACAGGAACAAAAAGAGTTGGGAACTTTGAGCACCTCTATCTGGCATTCATATGAGGTGAAAAATGCTTGCAGTTGAAAGTACTGAGGGAGAAAGAGTAAATACAGTTTTCCAGTCCTGAATGAACTCAGGAGCTCTGTAACAAGGTCTTAAAGGGCTTTAAGAAGTGGCTGCCATTGCAATAGGTAGTGAAGATCTTAAAATTGAGTGGCTTCCGGGAGGCAGAGAAGATACTTGGAGAGATTCTTGTTTATGAGCCATCAGGCCTTGTGAAAATGGGTGCTTCAGGGTATGCATGAAAACATCTGTGGAGTTATTGGATGTGTGCCTTTAGATTCCTTCCATGTCTTACTCTCTTGCTGCATCTGTCAGTAACTTAATAGATGTTTCACAACTGAAATCAGTTGTGACATTTGGGGAGTGTCAACCATTATAGGAAGTAATACTCTCTCTGCCTTCCATTTCACCTTGAATCTGGTAGCCACAACATGAGGCATTGTGTTTTCCTGGGAACTCTGTAAACAAAGGATTAAACAATCCCGTTTGTACTCTAGAGCATGCTTAGATGTAATCCTTTCCATTACAGTGCAGAAATGGTGACAAAGGGGTGTCCTGCAACTTACACTGTTTTTAAGAGAAAACAGCTGGATGCTGGACTGGATAACTGCTTTGTAGAGTGACCTTTGTTTTCTGTTCAAAAGAAATGGATAATGCTGTGAAGTGACAAGCATCTCCTATCTCAGTTTCTAAGCAATCTTAATGTCAGCAGTTCTTCAACAATAGTAAATAAGGAAATGTGTAAAACATGAAGGTGAGCAAGAGAAATGCTTATTAGACTTAAATCTTGTGGGTTTTTTTCTTGATTTCTCTTTATTTAAATAAAAGACAAGACAGTCCCCTGAGTAGCTGGATCCCTTCTTCTCTTGAGATGGATTGTGTCCAAAATGAATCATACAAGTTTTCCTTATAGCCTGATGGATATATTGCAGTATTTGGCCCACCTGTAATGGAAAAACTCTTTACATCAGAAAGACATGTGCCAAGTAGTAATGCATACACTTGCACCTAAACTCTTCAAACCAGGCTATTATGGTTTTATTAATTTGAACTCTGGGAATAGTTTGCTATATCAACTCCTGAAAAAAAGGTGGTGCAGGGCAAAACTGAGTGTGAAAGCTTGAGTGTGGCATAGAAATAAAACCCGTGTACATACTCAATGTCCATTGTTGATGTTTTGCACCTTGGTTGAACAATCTCCCTAGGCCTTTTATATCAGAAGTGTTAATGTATGAAAGTGTGGTCAGAAGGTTTATAATGTTGCATTAATCACTGCTTAAAAATGTTCAAAAAGGAGCAAGTTTCTTTTACTGTTCTGAAAATTCCCAGGAGTTTTCTTTGGAGCGTGCATGCAGTAGAATGGTGTTACATAATCTTGGAACTTTGTATGCAGATGTGAAAGGCTTCTCAAATGTGTAGTAATTATACAGAAATTCATGTAATTAGATCTTTTACAACCATCTGACCTTTTATCTTTGTTTAATTATGTAGGGGAATTCATTTACCACTGAAACATAGCTCTGTAACAGCTGAAAATCAGCATCACTGAAGACAAAGAAATTCCATATCCAGCTAAATTACAGAGAACATTCTGTTGAGCAGAATAAAATTACTACTTCTGGAACCTAACTGCAGAATGTAATTCTTTCCAAGAAGTCAAATGCTTTTGTGCACCAGCTTGACCAGCATGCTGACTTCTTTTCAGTGCAGGGACTGTGGCCGCAGTCTTGTCTTTCCCTGAGTTATCCAACGGCTGCTGAGAAGTGGGATGCACCTGCAGCTTCCCAGCACTTCTCCCATAAAACATGTGCCCCAGCAGGACGATTTCAGCTATGTAAGGCTGAAGTGTGGGGAGATGGGCCATTTGCAGGTGGCAGCTGTTTGAAGAGGGAGCTGCTGTGCAGGGACAAGCAAACTGCGTGGTGGATGGTTTGTGAGAGGAAAGACTTTTAATTGGTTTAGCAAAAAATAACAATTTGGTGTAAACATCCATTGTACTTAACACAATGCATGGAGAAGTGAATTGGACTGTAATAACTACTTGACTGAACAACTGAAACTCACTGGTGGTTGGCATTGTGTTGCTTATGTGGGGGCCCACAGTGTTGTCATGTGTTGCAGCCTTTGCATAAGTAGTGAAGTTGGTCATCAAGTTTTTGTGAGGAAGCATGATTCATAGTCATTTACTTTTCCTTACGGGCTGTCTGAGGTTGTTCTCAGAACTGGTTTTGAGATTTCGAGCAGGTGGTTTGCGAATCTGCCAAGGCCGTATGTTCCTGGTGTTGTTGAGACCGAATTGCATTGGTGTAATTTTCTTCAGCTGAAAATGTTCACTGTGTATTGTTAGTTCCTCTTTCCAGTCTTGTAATAACACAAAGTAGTTCAGCAAGTGCTAATGGTGTCATGAGAAAGTTTGGTTTTCTGCGGATCTGCCACCTGAAATGAAATGTGACTGGTTGTGTTCAAGGTTAAACCCTTGGGTATGACCATAGCTCTGTCATGCTGTCAGGGACACCGCAGCCATTTGGAGGGGGTGCTATCGATCCTATCACTGGGATAATTCCATTGCAAATCAGCAAAGCAGGAGTCCGTATGTAAGATACGTAGTCTGGCAGTCGTATTGACTCCTAATTTTGAATGCTTAAAGTCAGCGATAACCTGGATATAACAGACTGCAGTATAGGATAAAGCTATAGTAGATGCTTTTTCTGAAGGTATACTGGGGCAGGAGGAGTCTTAATAGTAGCATGAAACTCTGGGCAGCCCAACTTACGCTGCGGCTGTAGCTAGAGTAATATAGAGGCACTATGAGTTTATATCTACCAGGCAGAAAGCAGAGAGACAACAGCAGCATGGCAGGGATAGTGAAAACCACCATAGTTCATGAAAAGCATGAGGTGAGAATAAGCCACCCACAAAAACACCAGACAACCCCCTTGTCCCAGTGTACTTTTCCCGACGAGCTCCCTGTCTCCTCAGTATGCACTGCTGCCGAGTTACTTTGGTGCAGGAACTTTTCCTAAAGTACTTTTCTGTGGCAGCCCAGACCTTTAAATTTGTTCTAGTCAACCTGCTGCAGCCCTGAGAAAGAGGTTTTGTCGTAGAGTCATAGAATGGCTTGGGTTGGAAGGGACCTTAAAGGTGTAATTCCAACCCATCTGCCATGGGCAGGGACACCTTCCACTAGACCAGGTTGCTGAAAGTGCCCTCCAACCTGGCCTTGAAGGGTGCCAGGGATGGGGCTTTGAACAACCTGGTGTAGTGGAAGGTGTAACTTACAATTACTGCCTGCTGGTTCATTCTTTGCTCATTAGTAACCATCCTGCTTGCTACATTCACCTCTACATGTCTGTGTTTTCCTGTTCTACAAAGGAGAGGTCTTCCATTAATGTGGTAGGAAAGGGCAGCTCTGCAAACATAAAAACATGTAAATTATGAGACAGATATAGTGCTTGTTCCTTTTTATTTGCCTTCTGGTTTTGGAAGTTTTCAGGTTTGTTCACTTCTTCAAGTGTTTGTTACCCTGAGGTCATGGGGATATTGTTTGGTTTTGTTCTTAAACTGAGAGTGTGATTTTATATGTTGTCATGAATCACGTTAGAACATGATTCTTTGTTAGCTTTCTAAAACAGTATTAACACTCAAAGTGAAATTTAGCCTCTGTACATCTATAATCCCAGGTTCAAGCTTGTCAGTCTCAGCACAACAGGAACTGAATTTGGTCTAACCACTCCCACTAAAATTCCTGTGAATTTCTTCACTGACTTTACTGACAGCAGGATTTGCTCCTGCCTGGTATGTGTGAGCTGTGTGCATGTTTTTTAATGGCTGTAATGGTGTAGCAGATCAGTTTTAGGTTAATGGACTTCTCAGAAGGTGCATTTAAACTACATTGAGGTGAACGTAGCTATAAGCTCCATTTGGCATGGTACATGTACGTGTGAGCAGCTCTGTGCTCTCTTCAGCTTTGGCTCTGCTCAATAGGCCCTTCATGCCCTAGGTCTGTGCCATGAGCCTCAATGTCTGTAAGAGAAAAAGGAGTGTCCTCTCTCTGAGAAGAGTTTGTCTTCACAGAAGGGAAGAAGTAGTGGGCGGAAGTCTGGTAACAGTCCTGGAGCCTCTTCAGCATATTTTCCACCTCTTGAAGCCTTTCTTGATTATCTTGAATGACACACAAAGCTGGTTTGCTTTAAACTGGACTTGCTAGAAATGTAGGCTACTAGTGCTTGTTTGAAAGTGAGCCCAGCACCTTCCAAAGTGACAGTTCAGGACGTAGCACCTACAACTGGTGGCATTGTGGCTATGAAACACTAATTATTTGTATACTATATGAAATCAGCGGTGACTTCATATAATTTAGCTAAACTGAGATTGTTGGAAAGTTTTAACCTAACAGGTCTCCCCAAATCCAGCTGCAAGCAGTGGATGTAAGAGCCACCTATGATACTGGGAGCTGACTCGCATGTTTGAAGGTTGTATGAGCCTCACAGAAGAAGGGCTGCTGATTGAAAGAGGGACTATACATACGGACTGATGTGCTTAGTAATTAAAAAATAATCTTTATTATAACTTAAATGTGATAGGAAATATGGTGAGTACAAATGCCACAAAACTAAAAGGAAAAAAAAAAGAATAATTAATAAAAAAAAAAAAAGAAGCAGAAGTCAGTACAAAAGGACACCGTGGAAGAATTCAGCTGATGGGAGAGGTGTGGTATAAAAACCATAACATGGTTATTTCACCTTCTGCAAAAAGAGTCTATATTCCTCAGTAAACAAGCATTTTGAACTGTACAAAATGTACTTTTTTAATTAAAGGAAGAATATATATTTATAAATATACAGATATGTACATTGTTGTAACATTCACAGTAAAAAAAAAACCCAAACAAAAGGGCCCCTGCCTGCCAAGTGTTTGGCGCACAAGGCTTCCTTTTGATGTGAACTGTTTGCAATCTTTTCTATGTAGCCTATGCAAATTTGGATACTTCAGTTGACATCTAAATAGCATTTCATGCATAATGAACACAGTACAGGAACACTCTTCTGTTAAATTCTATTCACCTCCTCTGTTAACTTAAGGCTCACAATCAACAGTTTGAAGCACTCGCTGTCTTTCATCCTTGCAGCAGGGAGGGGGGGGGAACACATTCACTTCACCCTCTGTTTATTACTGCCTCCGAGGCCCACTTGTTCTAGTTCTTTGTATTGAAATGACTATAGAAAGCTATGATCCACTAATTAGAGTGAATGAAATCCAAGCCTGCCTGTGACTTACAGGACCAAATGGCTTTGAGGACTCACACAATTAGCTGTATTCACTCCTTCCTGGAATAAATAAATGCACTTTACCTTTTCATTTAGTTTTCAGAAACCTATGTGATTGATCCCTCTCACAAATCTCTACGTTAATGATGGCTTGTTGCTGGAGGGCAAGAGAAAGGAAATAAAAGACCAGTGGAGGCATTTTAAAATGAGTCACCAAAGTGGCACCTCCCAGGGTTTACATCCTGCTGTTTCTGGAGGCAAAACTTGAAGAAACTTGCTCTGTATTCCATTACTGAGAAAGCCGTGTGGTGCTGGTGGGGACACCAAGAGAAGGCTTCTTTGCGGTCCTGTCCAGGTGCCCTCCGACTTGTCCGTCTTAGATACAGTATCGCACATCGCAAGCTTTCACGACAACTTCAAGGAAGTAAATGTAACAGTAAAACAGATGAAGATGCCAAATTCTAAAAACTCACAGAAGTTTGTTGAGGCTGAATAACTGCAATTACATCATATGTTATCGATCGGTCAGGAAGGTGTCCTTCCTCAGCATCCAGCTGTTCCATCATGAGCTGCAAAGAGGAGCCAATAGGAACCCTTAAGCTGGATTTTAGATGTTGCTTTTCCTTAAGAGGTCTGTAAATTGCTACATTTGAGGACATTCTCATAGAATTCTTCAAAGTCTTCTTCTGCTCCCCACACTGGAGTGCAGCCTCATCCTACTTTAATGCCTGTTACGTGTAGGCAGGTGCTTTTCCACCTAAAAAGCTGTGGCAGTTTCGGTTCCACGGCGGCTTCCAACTCTAACAAATTCCCGGGGAAATTTGTCCAGCTGTTCATATGCCAGTCTCCCATCTTCACCTGGATGCAAAATATTGAAGCACAATAATGTATTATGTCATTGCCCTACAACATTTTAAACACTGGATTCTCCACTGTTAGAAAGTACCGCTCTGCCACTAACTTCTTCCCCTTAAAATTCCTCTTGCTGAAGGCAACTTCAGAAATTACATGGAAAAGTTAAGCATTCTCTGAATATTTGAATTATTATGTTTTATTTTGTCACCTGATTTGCTGGGTTTATCGAGAGCAAAGCAGAAGCAGATGTGGCTTGTATGATTAGATTACAGTATCTGTACCCTTGGCTTACTAAATGACCTGTGATGCTTGTCAAGGTCTCAGCTGAAGCTCTGATAGACTTGAGGCAGATGATATTTATCTGCTTCTACTTTGGACAGTATAAAGCTTGCCCAGTTCCTGGCACTTTAAATAAATGAGTCTAGCCACTTCTTCACTTACTTACACCACTGAAAACCAAGAAGCAGTCTATTTGCTAAATTTAACTATTTGTGCGTCTCAAGCCATTTTCTCTTAGGTCATGTCTGTGCACTTCAAGATAGGATCGAGCCTAGTGTGTTGAACCAAAATGCTCTCTCTGTGTTGTCTAGAGATCTCCCAGAGATTTCAGAAGTGTCCCTGCACTAGTTGTTCTATACATGAGCAATGACACGTCCAACAGCAGAGTGAATTCCTGTTGAACTGGTGAATGGAAGAGAGTATATTTGAAGAGTTTGCATACCTAAAATCACAGATGGACACACACACTCATGGAGTAGAAATTCATGCCTGATGTAAAGGCCATTAAAATACAACTTTCCTCTACTGCCCTGAAACTGTACTGGTTTCAGTACGGGTGCCCTGAAACTGTGCAGCCACGCTTGCAGTCACACACTGCTATGCGGCTAGATTACAGTTTAATGAACAGGATATCTGCTGTCCCAGGGACAAATGAGGATCACTGCAAGGTGCCTGAGTTACAATTCATTATGAATTATTTCCGTTTGTCAACTTCTCCTTTGCTGCTTTTCGTTTTCTACTTCACCCTCCAGGCTCACACAATTCAATCTCTCTTTCTGGCTCATTTTCATGATTTTCAAAATGAATGATATTTAAGAATATATACTTTCTAACCCGTTCTATTCTCTAGGTAAAGCTTTGTTTCAATTTAGCGTCTTATGCTTGCATAACTTACTTAGGTGTCTTACATACTGCTTTGTCAAAAAAGAAAATACCGCTCTAAAACAGGCAACTCACCAAGGGCGAGCAGCGTTTCGGATGCCACTTTTCTGATCTCTTCATTGTCAGACTGACAGAGTGTGACCAGCATTTTAATACTCTCAGTAGCCTGGGAAGTGCAAAAAGAACCACGTTAGCAACACAGAGCACACTGTGGTTTTATTTCACAACCTTGCATGGAAATAGTGACCATCCTCTGCATTGCCCTTCCTACTTCAAGGGAAGGGCCTTTGCTGAAGACATGAGGAATGGGATTTCCCTGGTGGGGGAACATCTCGGAGAAGGCATATTTTCTGCTGTCAGTGCAGGCCCTCCCTGAATTTCCTACCCTGTGTGCTACATGTACAAATCTGGCTGACCAGCTATGCCTACTACTTCTGACTGTAGGTTGGGTGATGGGCCATGGGACAAGGCCAACAAGTACCAAGGTAAAGGTAATGTCAGGGAGACAAACAGGATCAAGGGAATGAGTTTCACACTGAGCATATCAAACGTGGTAGGTCTGAGAAGGCTGTTCTCACCAGCCTAACTGTGCCTACAGGGGCATGCTGGCTGGCCAGCCCAGTCACTTCACTGCAGGCTCCTCACCAACACCTGCACTCACCAATATTTCCACATTTTTGCCTTGCCTCTGTTATTTTGGGAAGAAAACAAACAATAATCGTGTTCTTGACTACAAAAATGTCACGCCTTTGGGAAGAGCAGCTGTCAGGCTTTGACAGGCTATTTCATACCACAATATGAGTGAAAGGAATAGCAGGTACTGCCTCAGCATGACACATGGAAGAGGCACTGAACCACAGAGTCAGTATCTGTATGAGCCTTTGGGAACACGGGTCTGGTCTACAATGCTTTTGATGAGGGCTTAGCCACCAGAGCCATTAAATCTCACCACCCCATCTTCAATGAATTCACCTGTGCTTGACTCAGGACAAGTCTGCACTGGGTGCACACTGGTGATTGCAGCTCAAATGCTCATGAATGATGCTCCAGTTCCACTGCTTGTTCCTGGTCTACCTTTTCCTGAGCGATCAAAAACCCCACTGTGCCCTGCATGCAGCAGAGGTGTACTGCCCCTCAACATTGCCTCTCAGGGATGCCTGCTAGCATCTTGTTTAAAAGAAAACAGGTTTATTTCATATTTAAACAATATTGGACTATGTATTTGATGGTACGAGCTCTGGCTGAGATAATGTTGCATTTTAGAGTTGTCTTCTCCATGGGACAGCTTTGAGGAAGAAATAGCCTGCAGCAGGTCTATCTCATGGAACACCTTTTGCCCCAGTGCCCTGTACCAGACAGGCTTGGTGGCTGCTGTTTCCCATGGCTCTACACAGCCCAAATAGAGGTGTGTTTTTCCTTCCCGTCATGGGCTGGAGCGCAGAAATTATACCAGATGCTGGCTGAAGCTGTAGTGCTCAGATGTACCAGTTATTTGTCACAAAGTAAGCTGAGACCTTTCTCTCTCTTCTACTGCTGCAACTCACATGCATTATGGCTAAATTTACCCTGGGAAAGGATTTTTTTCCCTCTCAGTCAGTACTCTATGAATGAATACTATTTTTCTCTGTGATGTGGAAGTAAGTTTCCTAAAGTCAATATTACAGGGAGGAAAAGATATGCAAAAGATAGACTCTGTCATCATCACAGAGCCCGGCTGTTTTTGCTTCTAAAGCATTCCCAAACAGTATGGTATCTGTAAAAAGAAGCAGTGCAGCAATGCAAAACAAAAACTCTATTGCTGCTGCTGCTGTTGCAGTCCCTATTTTGTTGTTTGTACCTCTCAGATGTACTTTCTTTAAAGTAAAGCCACAGTGAATTCCTTGTCTCTTTCTTACCTTCAGGTACCTTAAAGCCAAGCAAGCTGCTTTCTGCAGCTGGAGGTTGGGCTGGGTTAGTGCTTCACAGTAATAAATCAAGGCCTGAAAACAGATAAAGAAGAGTAGCAATGAAAATGACTGTGCTTGTATGGAGCAGGAGTGTGGAGGCATTGCTGCCTTGCTAAAGGGAGAGGGATTGCAGCCTTGCATCCCTGACAGTGAGCACATGGGATGGAGAAGCACAGGCCCTGCTACAGATAATGTGGTGGGATAATTCCCTGCAGCAGACACAGGCCAGGCCACTAATTATTGCTTAGTTGTCTCAGGCCAGCTTTTGGTGAGGAACAGTTCATGTTAAGCGAGAAGCACAGCCTGGCATCCTTGAGAGCCTTTCCACATAAGTTGCCAAAGAGCTTTAAATGGGTCTTCAAGTCTAAAAAGCTCAAAAGCTAACCCTTGAGATGGTTTCTCTAATGTAGGAATAGTAATGAATACTCTGGGATGGACCCCAGGGGGGACTGCAGATCTCTATTATAAGGTTAGCATGAGCTGCTAAACCAGTTTATTGTGTGGCCCTAGAAATTAGTAGCTACTGCTAAGCAAACAAACCAGTGTGAGCAGCAAATGTCAGCAGCAGTCGTCTGCACAATGAATTCATCTGCAGCATAAGGCTGCATAATGCCCTCGCACAAGGCACCTTGTGGTTCTTCCTGCAGGCAGTGAACCAGGTATCACCTACACACGCCTGTTGCAGGGGGAAGTTATATTTCATCCGAGATGCTGCCTCCTTGATGCTGGGGTTGGAGAAGGATGGTATGAGATACCAAGAGGCTGCAAAATTGGAAGATAAAGTGGGAGGGCAAGCAAAGAGGGGACTGGAGAAGAGCAGCAAAGAGTTAGATCCTTTTTCTCCTCTCTCTGCCTTCCTTCCACCACTTTTCCTCTTCCAATTGCCTATTATTTCACTCTCTCCTGACAGCGAACAAGAAGGACAGCTGGAAAAGGTCTGCCATGAAAGGGTAGAAGCCAACCTTTAATTTCTTCTTCTTCTCCCCTCTCTTTAATTTTTGTGTTTAACCTGGCCCTGCTTGTTGCCTTATATCTGTGATAGATCTCACAGCTGAGGTGTGTTTGCCCAAGGCAGTCCATCCCTCCCAGAAATGGCAGTAGGACCTATAGGTGCCTCTTTCGGAAAAAAATATAGAAATCCCAGACCCACATCTTTGCATGTTGGTGGTGCTGGGAACTGTTGCCTTGAAGCTTTGGGCTGAAGCCAAGTCTGAGACAGGCCAGCAGAAATGCTGAAGTGTGGAAAATAGCTGGAGAGCACAGCACTCGGTAAGCACCTGCAGTTTTGGTTAGTCCCTGTTTAGTGTAATGACAGGTAGAAGCAGACTGGCGTAATGACAGAAACAGACCTGCATATTTGCAGAAAAATTAGATGGGAAATCCCCCTGGGTAAGTTTAAATCAAGTATGAAGCAATTACTTTATATGTGTAGACATTTGAGACACATAGGCAGAAAAAATGTCATGATGATACAGGTCTCTCATGCGACAGGTGATTTTCTGCCACTTACCTTCTCCCTGAAGTGCCTGTTTTCTGCAGTAGCTGTCAGAAGTGATGCCACAGTCTCACTCACTTCATTTTTATTTTCATTGAGGAGTAAAGCCAAAGCTCTCAATACTTCTTGCTGTGGTGGAAGGTTACTGGAGTTTATTTTGGCCACGTTTTGCTGCAGTTTTCCATCTTTCACTGACTGCAGCACCTGAACCACAGAGGCTAGAAGTGCAGGAGAAAGGTCCTAGTTATTTATTTTATCCTTTCAATATTTCGGATTTCCCTGCTAGCAATCCTCAATTTATACTGTGCAGACAAAGGACACAAAAAAATCCCCATCTGAGCAATTGCAGCATTATGGTGTGTCTGCATGGGGAGAGAATTGTTTGGGCTGTAAATTGGGCTGGTTTCCCAGGTGTTCTGCCAAAGGAGGAGACCAATAGATGGGCTAGGTGGGGCACTGTAGCACTTAACACCTACTCTGAGCTAAGGGCCTACAGGTCAAATCCTCACTTTCTGCTGGAATGTGCAAATCCTCCCCGTAAGAGGTGAAACCCAGCATCCTTGTCAGTGTACTGACTTCCAAAGCATCTTTGTGAGAGCTTTTCCCAGGCAGATTGATGTCTGCCACCAAGAGCCATGGCTACTGTGCTCTAGAGGTGGGCTGAAATACCTTTTTCCTTCCAGGTTTTTGAGTAAAAGCTCCCCAGTAAGCTCAAATAATAGTGAAAACTAGGCTCCAACCAAAAAAGTTGGAGGTTCCTCCAACTCTCTCTCAAATAGAGAAGAAAACTTGGCACGCCAGGGATTGCAGTGTAGCATGCTCTATGAAGCATCTGCTGCTCTTCAGCTCTTGGTGGCAGAGCCTGCCAAACACTGAGGTGCTGTGATACCTTGGCTCCTGAAATTGCTCGGCACTTCAGAAGGTCTCTTCATTAAGGATAGTGAAAGACTGGAACATCATCCAAACTGCAGGCACAGAAAACCTCCCAGCCCACCACCATCAGCCATTTCCTGAAAACTAACTCTTTCAACATAGTTTTTCCCATTTGAATATGGAAATAGAAGTTACTGAGGGTGTATCTACATTGAGGTGCATTTGGACTTACTGTCCAAGGCACTTTGACTCTTTTGCCCCCTTCTTTTGTAAAATCAGTCTCTAGGCTGAACTGTTTTGTGCTGAACTCAGGACACCAATGGAGTCCCCTGTTATCCACCAGAATTTATATAGCCTACCTTCTTTTGCGAGCTGCAGCAAGTAGCTTCCAAGGTCATTAACACTGTGACTGGCAAAATAGTTGTAATACTGAAAGACAGTAATGATCTCAGAGGACATGCTGGAGTAGAGGACAGGCTCCGTTCGGTCCAAGATCTGAGACACCAGGATCCTGAAGACTGCAGGCAGTCACGGACAAAGGGAGGTATTAGTGAGTAAAAAAGCTGCTGGCAAAATGCTGCAGTCTACTTTAAAGCCAGAAAGAAGGAATCATATTTGCAAAACCGTATACTTCCCGATGTTTCTAACCTCAGCTGTGGTTAGGTTACAAGCTAGACACACCTTCTCCCTGCCTAGCTCTCATCTCTAGAGGAGGTCTTTGCAAGGATGAACCTCTGCCAGTTTACTGATGGCCAGTGCAGCTTCCTATCCAATCAATACAGTGTTCTTTCTACCCAAACGATACCCCGAATCACTAAACACATATCCACATGCACTGCCAATTACACCTCTGCGATGCCACTGTACTTCACTGAGATGTGCACAGAGGCAGGATTTGGCTTTGCTTGTTTTTATGTTCCTGTGTGAGCATGTGGCACGAAGAAAACTACTCTGAGGCACTGTCTGTGAGAACTGTAGCAGAGAGCAGGAAGGAAAACACTGCTCTGGGTAGGCATCTGCGGTGCAGGTGCTCGCTCCTGAGCAAGTCCCCCCACATCCCTGTTCTGTCCCACAGAGAGCTAGTCTGTATAGCTGGAGTTTGAGATTTGGTACATCCCACGCCAAATAGGAGCCTGTGTTCAGATAAACTCACTTGACTGTGTATGAATTTCATCCCCTGTGCGCTGTAGAGGGGGCACGGGCATTATATAGACACATAAAATCATGTGTGAGGATTCCTACTTCACCCTGTACTTGGGAATAGACTTACTTTCCAATTAGCTCATAAACATCAAACCAGTATTTTCTTTTCCTTTTTTTCCTATTCTGATCTGACTATTTGGGGCCAAAACTGTTTCAAGAGTTGTAGCATTAGATGTAAAATAGTATCTTGGAGCTGTGGCAAAACAGACCTCCAAGGGGTTGGAAAACAAAGCAATGAAGGTCAAATAAGCCCAGTACACAACTGTTCTCCATTTTGGTAACTGACATGTTTTTTTTCTGCAGTGGTTGGTACCTGTTTCTGCAAGTCCTGGACACTCCTCATTCACAGTGGTGGCAAAATTGATATCCAACTGCTTCATCATCTTGTCTGCAGATGTGTGATACACTCCTGAAGGGCCAGTACACTTCATCCAGAAAGCCAGCAATGACAGCTTCTTGTGGAACTCTGGGATTGCTGGAGGAGAAGACAAAATGAACAATGAAACAAAGCAATGCTGGAAGCATCAACTTCCAGAAGGAAAAAGATGGTAAAAGCAGAGGAAATCTCAGCCCAGCCTGATGGACGGTTACTGTTTGGTAGGTCTCCTTGTGCCATTACCTTCACAGAGCATGATGATGTGCTCACCCCAAGTTTGTGACATGTTTTTTTCTGTTACCCATAGTACGATGTGAGAAAATTTGCTCCTGATCCAGTTCTGGGCATTGATGTCTCTTCCTTTAAAATACCACAACATACTAGGGAAATGCCACAAACTGTCTGCACAAGACTGGTCCCTTCCCAGCACTGCTTTGTGGCCTTGGATAAGTCACTCAATCTTGTCTCGATTTTCTGGTAAAAAAAGTAAACACCCCATGTTGTATTTACCTGTCATGCCAGAGTGCTCACTAGGGTGAGTAACAACGTCTTTGTCAAACTCTTGCAAGGTATTAAAATAGATGCATTAACAAGAAAAATAACTAAATCATTCTCCATAAAGATTACTAAAAATAAGATGGATAAAATTTTTGAGAAGTTGTATTATGCGTCTGACAGTTATAAGACAGATCCTGCCTTTCCTTGGGAAAGAGGAAAGCGAGGAGGAGGAAGATTTTGGCTCTTCAGAGGTGGCAGCATCCCCACTCCATCACAGTGGTGGTGGACCTCTGTCCATCTTCTGCACAACAAACAGGATAAGAAGTCCTTTCTCTTCTCAACTGTCTAGTTTTGGATACCAGATCTGAAGAGAGAACAAGGACCCTGACCTGCTATGGTGACTGCTGGTAAGTCATGAGTTGGCCCTTACTATTGTGGCATCTCCTCCAGTGATGGTGAGCTCTGCACAGTGCTTATTTCAACAGGCATGCATGCCCAAACAACCCTTTTCAGGACACCCCCTAAATTATCTCTTACCATCAGTAAGGGAGGTGATGTTTCCCAGGTTCTCAGTGCTGATCTCTGCAATATTCTCCATCACGAGGATCTGCCTGGACAGCTTATCCAGGAGGTCTCTTGCCACAAAAGGTGTTTTACTGGAGAACACAATTTGCTGGTGAAGACAAATGGGGAGAGGAAAAGGAGTCAACCTCAGAAGAAAATAAACCAACTCTAAACCATCTGGCAGCTGCAGTGCAACGGCAAATTCATTGCCTTGGAACCATGGCAACTCCTTAACTTCAAAAGTTATTTTTCTCTGGGATATTTTATGGTCCTGGCTGCTTTGTGTTGTTGCTTATATCTTTAACATCTACATCCAGATCCACACTTGAGTATCCAAGCACCCATTTGCATTGTAATTTCTGACTTATGCTCTCTGCAAAGCTAAAGGAATCCACCATCATAAGCCTTAAAGCCAGAAAAGAATATTAGTCTGACTTTCACATAATATACGCTGTGGGCTTTCAGGACACACCTGCCTGGGGGCACACCACAGGTCGCTCTTTTTCCACTCCATTTCAGCTCTGATCAACTACTCAGGTGCCTTTATTAATCTGGTGCTTTCTCCCTGCTGCTGACATCTGCATTTTCTTCAGCAGTCCACATAAATATTGTTCATATCCAATCTGCTCCATGTGTGGTCACAGCTCGAGCTCACCTCCCTTAGCTGAATATTTACTGTGTGCTCTTGTATTTAAACCAAAACCCTGCCTTTTTCTCATACTTGTGAGTCAGCAGAGTGTCCAGCTCAGCACTAAAGGTAATGGAATTTGGCTTGCTCTCTATTGCTTCAGTGGGCCTTTGGGAAAATAAAGCTAATTACATCTAAGATGGAAGAGACAGATAATCCTAAAGAGGAAGTTGCAGTATGTTTTGGTTTGCAGGAAACCCCTGATGCCTTTGCTTGCTGGAGGTTTAAAATCACATTTGCTGTGCTTGGGCTCTGAAAAAAACACCTCTAAGACGTTGGGCTAGTTAGTTGTGAGCATGAACAGACAATTTTGATGTCTGCCATGTGTCAGGGGGCTGTCAAGTGCTGCCTTCACTGCATCTGTTGCAGACAATCCACCTCACATGCAGAAATTCATTTCTCTCTTGAATCTCGAGGCCTTGTCTCAGTGTTAAACAGAGGGGCCACAGGCTTCTGTTTTACCTCTGAAGACATGGGCTGCCTTAACCAGGGACCTACCTTGTTAGGATCTCCTGGTGAAGCCAGTGGACATTTGTAACCCAGAGCAGGGGCTGCCCCTGTCATCTGCTGCCCCTGCCCATCGGACCTGCTACGTGGCTGCTACAGCTGAACCCAGGACAGCAGCACATGCAAAGTGCCCTGTAGTTTGCACATCAGGTCTGCTCTGAAACAGTCCAGGATGGAAATCACAGAATCCTAGACTGGTTTGGGTTGGAATGAACCTTAAAGATCATAGAATCATAGAACAGTTCAGATTGGAAAGGGCCTTAAGATCATCTAGTTCCAAACACCTTCCACTAGACCAGGATGATCCAAGCCCCTGTGTCCAACCTGGCCTTGAACACTGCCAGGGATGGGGCAGCCACAGCTTCTCTGGGCAACCTGTGCCAGCGCCTCACCACCCTCACAGGGAAGAACGTCTTCCCAGTATCTAATCTAAATCTCCCCTCTGTCAGTTTAAATCCATTCCTCTTGTCCTATCACTACATGTCCTTGTAAAAAGACCCTCTCCAGCTGGTTGGGTGTGAAGGGTGTCACCTTCCTGCCCTGCCCAGCTGCTGTCCCAGCGCTGTGCTCCCACCACCTCCCAGGAGCAGCACTGGCCCTGCTGTCCTGCTTGTGCCCCATGTCACAGCACACACCGCTGCCTGCAGGACACCCCCACCCCCCCCTGTTCCCAAAGGAGCTGTGCTGGTACCTGAATGAGCTGCGTGCAGTACTGCAGGTGCTTAACTATGGTGATGTCGAGGCTGTCGTTGCCCGTGGTCAGCG